CCCAGCACTTTGAAAGGCTGACATGGGAGGATGGCCTGAGCCCAGGAGTTCGAGACTAGCCTGTGCAATACAAAATAAAATAAAATAAAATAAAATAAAATAAAACAAAATAAAAAGTGGCTGGGCGCGGTGACTCACGCCTGTAATCCTAGCACTTTGTGAGGCCAAGGTGGGTGGATCACCTGAGGTCAGGGGTTTGAGACCTGCCTTACCAATATAGTGGCCTGCAAGACAGAATGAGACTCCATCTCAAAAAGAAAGTAATAATATATTAATAAAATAATAATTTAAAAATATAAAGAAATGCATCACAGTGTTGACTTTCAGTAGGAGAGTTACAGCTATGTTCTTTTCTTCTATTTTTTTTTTTGTATTTTCCAGGTTGCTTTGTGTATTGTTCTGAAAATAATAAAATCATCTATTGTATTAAAAAAAAAGACTGGGCCGCACAGTTTGGGTGTGGTGGTTCACACCTGTAACCCCAGCACTTTGGGAGGCTGAGGTGGGAGGATCACTTGAGCTTAGGAGTTCAAGACCAGCCTGGGCAACACAGTGAGACCCTGTTGAGGCTGCAGTGGGCCATGATCATACCTCTGTACGCCTGCCTGGGCAAAAGAGTGAGACCCTGTCTCAAAACAAAAACCAAAACCCAAAAGACTGTAAGGATATATGGTATAATAGTAATAACGGAGGCTGAGTGCAGTGGCTCACGCCTGTAATCCCAGCACTTTGGGAGGCTGAGGCAGACAGATCACTTCAGGTCAGGACTTTGAGACCAGCCTGGCCAACATGGTGAAACTGCATCTCTACCAAAAAATACAAAAATTAGCTGGTATGGTGGTGCATACCTGTAATCCCAGCTACTTGGGAGGTTGAGGCACGAGAATCGGTTGAAGCCAGGAGGTGAAGGTTGCAGTGAACTGAGATTGTGCCACTGCACTCCAGCCTGGGTGACAGAGCAAGACCCTGTCTCAAAAAAAAAGAAAAAAAAGTAATCACTGAGACTATGGAATTATAATTATTTTTTTAAAATAAATATTCATATTTTATTTAAACATTCATATTTAAATACATATTTATATTTACATATGTTAAAAATCAGAATTGTATAATCAGAAAAAGTCAAATTTAATGAAAACATATTTTGTTTTTGTTTCTTCCCCAGAGAACAAATTTAATATCTAAAAAAAAAAAAAAAATCTTTAAAAATAAGTAAATGTCCGTGAGCGTTGAAGTGTATGTTTCAGGAGAAAGAGGCAGGAACTATTACAGTACACCTGGGTCTAGATCCCAGCTGACCCACCGTGACCTTGACTTTCACCCTCCCCATGGCCTCACCCTCTCTGTTCCCCATTCCAGAGGCCAGGCCCTCACTGGAGCTGGTTAATGATGACCATGCGGACGTGCTCTCGGGCCTTCAGGATCTTCTCCAGCCGGTGGATGTCGTAGGTGTTGGGGTTCCGGAAGGGGATGTCATCAGGCAGGCCCGTGACCTCCACGGCATCTGGACTGTCCCGGATCGGTTTATAAGGGACCAGCACTGGTCGGTTCAGGCCCAGGGCCTCACCTAGAGGGCACAGGAAGTCACAGTGAGGAAAGATGTCTCCTGTCCAAGGCAAAGCCGGGTAGGGAAAGGGCTGGAGTCTGGTCTGCCTCAGCCCAGCAGCCATCACACCTAGAGAGTTTAAAAATCAAGGCCGGGTGCGGTGGCTCAAGCCCAGCACTTTGGGAGGCCGAAACGGGTGGATCACGAGGTCAGGAGATCGAGACCATCCTGACTAACACAGTGAAACCCCGTCTCTACTAAAAAAATACAAAAAAATAGCCGGGCGAGGTGGTGGGCGCCTGTAGTCCCAGCTACTGGGGAGGCAGA